CAAATGCATATTTATATAGGTACTGTTGGATGTATCTAAATATGAGATCTATGTGTGGTTTTAATAAACTCAAAATTTAAATCAAAAGGATATTGCCTAATTTCTCGCGAAACACTCAAAAAAAAAGAGAATGGCCTACCTATAAAAAAATACAACTCTAACTGTTAGATAGATACAAAAACATGGATGTTTTAGATGTTCTCGAAAACATGGAGAATAGCTAAGGCGAGTTTTTGGATAAGGATGTTAAAAGATAAAGTGGCATTATAATAAATTTTTTTGTACCAGGTAATGCTATTGTACCCAGTAATTTGAACTTTGCTTATAAAACTTCTGACATATTTAAAACAATTAAGACTCTGTTCGTTAAATGCAATGCCATTGTTATTGGAAATGAAAGTAGTTTAGTTACTGAACGAGTTCTAAACGCAGAGATGCATTTGAATTTATATAAAATATGTATTTTGCATATTATGACATATTGACTTCTTTGACATATAACTTTAATTTTAGCATTGTTGTTTTTAAAATCTAAAAATATACACAAATATAAATTTAATAGAAGAAAATATTTTTAAAATTGTGTAGTGAACACCATTATTCTTTAGAGCATAGATGCTTAACCCATTTCGGAACACCGACCAACTTTGAATACTTTTTAATATATAAAGAATATTTTACCTTTTTTAAGTAAATATAAAGTGAAGGTAATCTTTCAAGTAAATATTAAACTCGTCTCATTTACTTAAACTTGTCTTATTTTAGTATTTACTATGGAAATTTCACCATAAAATTCCAAGTATGAAATTGCCTGGTATTTAACGGGTTAAAGTACATGAAACTTTTTAGCTCCTAGAACTCTCGGATCTCTGGAAATTCTTTGAAGAAAAATTAACAAAATTTACAGTTTAGTGTGTTACTTGAAACAGCATACTTTTTGTTTGGATTTTTCAGTTCCTTCAAACGATTAAAAACTAAAGCAGCTTGAAAAATTCTACAATTTGGTTATTGTTATGTGCTCTTATAATATAATTCTTGACTATATATCAAAGGACATTAAACAAATTAAAACTAATTTGATGTGTCGGTGTATATATAGCTTAGGTAATATTAGATTAGAGGGGCTGTTTTAAACACCAAAGCCTACTTGGGGAGAAATAATGGACCATTGCGATACCACGTACCACATAGTTTAAAACTAACCTATGTTTTAAAAATGGCAGTAAAATTCGAACCATTTTTTTCATTATTAAACATACTTAAGTCAACAACCCATTAATATATAACAATTTGTAAAATCATGCTATTATGACAATGTAACTATATAACTCTACTCTATGTAAGAATTAAATAGCATCCTAATATTCATTTATTTTTTGTACTTAGAGCTTGTCTTATACTTGTGTAGGTCAGGTTCAAAGGTACAACTATAACAGATTCGTCGTTAACTACCCATGGGCCAGTTGCGTATTTCTTATATATTTCGTCTATGTTCTTATAACTTTAAGCATTAATATAAACATTCTGTTTTATAACAATTAAGGATGGTCAACTTATTTTAAATTATGGGATTTTAATAAAAGCATATCACATTATATATATAAGCTGCTTTCATTAACAAAACTTAATTTCAAAGTTCCAAAAATAGTCTATGTTATAATTAGTTATTTCAAATCAATTTAAATTATTAATAAATTATTAAAAAAATTATTATATGAAATTGTTATAATGGATTGACATTGCATAAATCAAGGCACAATGTAGGCTTTACTATTGCTATATGCGTTTAGTATAAATTTATAAACTAAGTTTTTAACGATTTGAATATTTGAATAAAAATATAAAAAAAAACATGTATTGACAAGAAATTACGTACAAACAAATACTAATTAAATAATAATTGGTTTTTAGATAAAATAATTAACTTTAATAATATTATTAACATACCAGCAATGCTTTAAGTTTGTTATTTACTAAATTTTATTCCATTTCTTTCTTTTTTTTGCATTAAGATTTTATGGACTGATTCTATTTTTTTTTTTTTTTTGCATTAACTTATGTACAATTGCATTTACTTCAATATTTTTATTTTTTTAATTAAACAAATTGAATAGAGTTTTTAACATACGTGAGTGAGTAAACGGGGAAACGTCCTCAGCAAATGTTATTAGTAAAGATTAATCAGAAGTCGTTTATAGGCAAGAGAAGCAAGTGTATAAGAGAAAGCACGCAATATGAGTATCTGTCAAAAGTTATTATTAAAAATATATAAAAAAAAATTTTTTTAGAATTTATTTGTTATTGGATCAAACTGCAACTCATTTTAGTACTAATTGAATACATAAATATTATTATTACAACGTAAAAAAAATAATGAAATTAGAAAATAATAAAAAACTTTTATATTCTAAACATTAAAGGTATTCAGACATATTCACCGTAAACGAAATAAGACTAAAGAAATACAAAAAATCGATAAAATATCAAGTATAAAGTATCCAGAATGAATTAGTTATTAAACTAAATAAATTTAGATTTCTCACGAATCGTTATTGTATATTCGTATCAAGGCAAAGGCTCATTGAATGTACTACGAGTCGGTAAAACATTCGATGTTTTGCAAGTACTGGTAACGAAGTCGAAAACTAAATCCTATATATATTATATATATTCTATATATATATTATAAATATTATATATATTCTATATATTATATATATTCTATATATATTATATATATTCTATATATATTATATATATTATATATATATTATATATTCTATATATATTATATATATTCTATATATATTATATATATTCTATATATATTATATATATTCTATATGTATTTTATATATATTGTTTACATATTCTGTATATATTCTATATATATTCTGTATATATATGTGTATCCTATATATATCGTATATAATATATGAAAATATTTTATATTTTTAATTTTTTGAAAAAATTGTCATTTTTAATTCAAATTAATAAAAGTCAGTAATGCTAATATCAAAGACCGACAGCAATTCACTGGCCAGCAGTTAAGAAACGATAAACTAAATATACTAACTATCAAACCTTCTTAGTTCATCAAAGAATTTAGAATGTTGCTGAAATGTTTATAAAAAATATTAAGAAATTCTAAACTGTTGCTTAAATATTAGAAATATTTAAAATAATACTGCTACCAAAATATTTCACATCTATTAAATTTTTTTATAAAAAATTGCTCAAAATATGGTTGATTAAAAAATTTTCTAAATTCAATTCATTTGAAATTAAGTATTCAATAAGCATAAGTACTCTTAGCTTAAGTTAGGTTATGCTGGCTGTTCACTTAGGCTGATTGGTCCATTCTGTTACTGTATAGAGAATAGAGATATAGAGATTCAGAGGTTTTAAAAGCACCTTGAACCTTGGGCAAAGCTTAAAATGCTTTGATATTGGAGTTAGTTAAGATCCTCAAAAAAGGAAAAAAGGCTGACATTTTATTTAAAATTAAAAGAAGATATGTGTAAGAAACATTTACAAAAGAAAAGTGATTTAGTTCCCTAACCCTCGTCTAAAAATCTAAACCAATATAATATCGAGTCTCTTCGTTTAACAATGATAACTTAGTTGTTGTTACATGCTCATGATAACTTATACCTTGAGCTGAAATCAAATTCGTCTAGCTAAGAAACCTAACGAGAAAATATAAATTAGTAAAATCTTGAAATATGTAAATACCTTTAATGATATAATGTATAAAAAATAAATTTGAATTGTTTAGTAGCGATCATAACGTAAATATTTATTTTTTAATGAAAGGCTAATTAGTCAATATTAATTAATTTATTTTGTTTTCTTTAACAAATTCGTTCTTACATAAAATCATAAAAAAAAATTTAAAAACATCTTTTTTAATTTCATTACTTTGTATCAGTGATTCCTAAAAAAATCTTTTTGAATTTAAAAACTTAAAAAAAATCTTTTTGAATTTAAAATACTAGAAGAAAAAAGTTTTCATTTGTTTTATGTTAAAAACATATTTTTTCATTATTTCAAAACAAATATAAAAAAAAAGATCAATAAACACTAACCAATTAACCTATTATTACAAATAAATATATATATATAAATATTGCACGAAATTAAATACAATAATATGCTAATGTTAATTAATTAAAGAAAATTTGAATAAAAATATTTAAAATAAAAAATAATTTTTATTGAAGAAATTATTACACAATTATAAATAAGATATTTTTAAAGAAAAGAAAAAGTTAGCAACAATAAAATTAATGTAAACAAAGTATAATGAATATATACAATTCAGTATTTGTGTTTCGAAAGTAAATGAAAAATTTAAATTTATGATATATAAATTATTTGCTCAGTTTGTACCTTTAATTGATTCAGAAATAGAAAAACAGTTGTTAAAATTATTAATTATAAAACTTCACAGATGATAACGCGTTATAAGATATATATTCTAAAGATAATTGTAATAAATTAATTAATAATAATAATAGCTTTATATATAGTGAGAAGTAAATAAATACATATAAATACATAAATATTTAATACATACAATATAAAAATAAAATAAAAAAAAAAGGAAAAACATATTATATATAATACATATAATATGATATATATACAATATAATAAAAAATAAATATATTATATTTAAATATATATATATATCTATATTTATATTTGTATATATATTTATATTTACATATATAAATATATATATTTGTATATACATATATTTAAATATACACACATACCTATATACATATATATATATGCATAAATAAATTTTAGTTTTATTTGCTTAGGCTGAAATTATAGTTAAATTAGTTTTTTTTTGCACTTTAATAAATTATTTCCTAATTTTATAAAGTATATATTACATACTAATTAGTTTGACGTAATTTAATATACTCGCGTTGAAATTAATCCTGATGCAATTGTAATTGTTTCCAGTAATAGAAGGAAGTTGTATGTGAATTTATTTATTTTAATATAATCCATTTATTTATAAAAATTGTGGACATTGTTGTAATGATATTGTTGTAGTTACTATTATTATTTAATAATTTGTCAAAATTTCATTACAGTCTTCCTTAAGCAATAAAACTAGGTTTTATTTTTTTTTGTATTTGAATTCTTACTGTTTTACTGAAGATTAAGATGATTCCTTAGCAAAAAAAATTTATCCTTCTGGAAAAACTATTGGTAAAGAAACATTTATTACGGGCGCCAAACAAAGTGGGCCCTGCGAGACGGATCACCCAAACCGTGGCTGCATCATTTGCAGCATAGGATGTCCAGCTGGGAGCATTACACCCATGCCAGGCACTCCGGGTACGCCTGGCACAGTTGGCATTCCAGCCATTGGTATAGCAGGCATTGGTGCTATTAAACCTGTATAAAAAGAAAGAAAAAGAAAAACAAATTAATAAACTTAAGTTTTGTATGCATGGAATTTTAATTAAATTTTTCTCAAAATTAATTTATTATTAAATAGAAGTATCAAAATTTTTACAATAACAATCAATGAATAATATAAAAATTTTAACTTTTAATGCGTTAACTAGTGGTGTATAAGAAGTAAATGAGCAACAAATTTAACAAAAAAATGTTTTCTTTTAATAATATAAAAAATATAAATACATATATGTATTACTTGAATGGCTAGAAACAGCAAAAGGATATACATATAAACAATGACATAGCATACAAGTATATATATCCTTACATTGTTACTACGTTAAAAACACATAAATATGATTAAAACTAAAAAGCATTACTTACGTTTCCAATTAAAAATATATAATCGTAACCGTATACATAAATATTATACAAAAAATTATAAGAAATATAGATACCTATTAAAGATAAACTATAAGTCATTGCGAATTCTTTTAACATTTAATAGGAAATATTATATGAAACGTTATACAAACCTCATTTGTTTCGGACTTTCGATGGATACAAAAAAAGAATAAAGGAATTCAACTTTCTAGCACTGAAGTCGAAACTATTTAGGGTGATTAAAGTTGAATTTTAAGAAAAAAATGTATTTATATATTTTTTGAAAATAAGAAATTAATAAATTCCTTTAAAGGTTGTTAGACTTTAAACCATGAAGTCTAGTGAAAAATTTATCCATGAACATTTATGTTAAACATTACTTCAAATTCTTCAAGCAGTTTGATTAATATTAAATCGTAATAAAAAACAATGTTAAAAAATTTGACTCACGGATAAAAAATGTACCTATTGAATTGAAAATTCTATGTACTACTGTGACAAGAAATCTATCTTCGAATACAAGAGGAAGTAATAGCAGGGAATGTAAAAAATACTGCTATTTTTTTCCTGTAAATTGTGCCATTATACGATTTGTTACTAACCAGTGGTCACACCACCAATTTTTTTTTTTATTATACCTTTGAGTGTTCTGCGATGTTTGAAAAACACAGTACAACAAAAAAATGTTCTTTGAAATTAAATCAACTATGGTGAATCTTTGAGAATGTTAAAGATCTACGTTGAAACGTCCATATCAAAATAATAAAAAGATTTTAAAGTGGACCAAAATGTGAGAATTGATGTATCTCGTTCAGATCGGCTAAAAAAATCGACAACACCACACAGCTGATTCTCACGCCCCCTTTGTATTAATATTCAAGAGGTGGACTTAACTTTAAAGTTCATTTATAACATTATTAAGGGTAATATTTTGGGCATGAAACGCAAAAAGCATACCGAAAATAGATGACTATATATCATTTTTCAAGCTGTTATAATAACCAATAACCGTAATGTGGTGTATTTTAAATTACTTCCAAAAAGATTAAACATAAGCAAATGGTACTAATTGGAGATCACGAGGCGTGAGATATCCCAAATTTATGAAAGACCAACAACTCATGCATTTAGCACCACGATAATGCATCAATGAATATTATCGAACAAGTACCGTACGCACCTGCCATAAACTTAAGTGATTTTTTTCTGTTTCTACGAATAATAATACCAGTTAAAAGGCGTTTCCAATCATTTGTGATCATAAAAAAAAATTTACTGAAGGAGTTGAGAGTCGTGCTTTATTCACTCTATGAAAAATATAGAGATAACTAAGTCAAGCTATATTGTATTATATTCAATGGGACCAATATTGATAGTTTGTAGCCGTAAATGTTAGTTGATTGTTTAAATTTTTTTGTATTTTTTTTTTCAGTACATTTTTCAGTACAGGACATTTTTACACAAATAATATATGGCTTACGTCGGGATTTAATTTCACTAAAAATATGTACTAAGTGCTTAAGTTACTTTATACCTATTTCCTTTCTTTGACTTACAATTTTGATACTTTAAAGAAATTTTAACTGTATGTTAAAGCTATCAATTTGGAGGTTGCAGTATATGGGATTTTTTTCATTTCAAGCATAAATTAAACCATTCCAAAACTGAGATAACTTACACTTATTATTAAAAATATTTTTTTAATAATATTATATAGAAGTGGATATTTAAAATCTTTCTCTTACATATTGTTTTTTTTTGTTGACTCTAAATATTTATAATTTGACTATATGCACATCCTTTAGCTTACTAAATCAATCACTCCGGGAAAAAATTCAGAAGTCTCATACAGAAAATTATAATAAACTGTATACCTCATTATATGGCGGTTATTAAAATTTTTAATTTTACATGTAAGCATTAAAATGTAAAGTGTATATATTAAATATCAAATAATCGACTTGTATATATAATATATTTTTGCAAAAAGCTTCAACTTTTAAATAATTTACATTTATTTTTCATAACGATTTTAATTTTTGTGGTTATTTTTGTAGATATTTGATTTTTCGTTTCATAAGCCTTAAGCAACCCTTTAATATATATATAGACATAGGCAATAGTCTTTCCAAAACATTTAAAAAAAATTTAAGAACAAATTACAAGACAATAAAAGGTACTTTTACATTCATGAAATTTTATACTAACACAAAAATACCAATAAGCAATTAAACTTACAAATAATTAGAAAAAATTAAACTACAATTATTATTAATTTATTTTTAATGTAATTAATGATAAATTATGTAATTATGAAAATAGTTTCAAGTCATTAAGTATGTCATTTTGTTAACAAATTTGAATGTGATATGTACTCACCGCACAATGAAGTACATTATTAAGCACAAAAAAGTTTTTAATTAATTAAAAAAACAAAAAAAAATTAAATCGAATTAATTTAAGTAAAGCCTCATAACATGAAATATATTCTTAAATTTAATTCTTAAATAGAGAAAACTATAGATAATTAGATAAAGAAAACAAAAATTTTAAAAATAATTTTAAAGATAATTTTAAATAATAGTGTAAATTAGAAAAGAAAGGTATTTATATACTTAGGATGTATTTGAAAATCATATACTTAGGATGTTTTTTTTCTTGTTAAATAATTACTCTAACCTCAAAATCTATATGGGACTATATGTGTTTTAATTACTAGGTTGGATAGAAAAGAATCTGTTATTGTCTTATCTCTCGGAGTAAATCATTCCTATCTTCCCCTTATCTTCTTTATTATAACTTTGAATTTACATCTTAAGCTGAAGTGACTTGTTTTATTTAGTAATAATCAGTAGCAATAACAATTTTGTATGTTTGAATCATATTTTATAATATTTAACCTAGCACTATATATAAATATCAGGGTGCGTATTTGCTCACTCATGAGCAGCTCAGGCTCATGAGCAAGAGCCAATTCTTATGTGAGCCCAAAATTGGCTCATATTGAAGAGCTGCTCACCAGCGTGAGCCTTCAAGTTGCTCATATTGAAGAGCTGCTCATGAGGTCTCACGAGCCAAGAGCTCACGAGCTCAACTGTTTAATAAAAAGTGATTTATTAGTTTATTGGCTTTATTTATTTTTATAAACGTTATATGTGAAAATATATAATTTGAAATTAACTTAGCTTATTATTATTTATATTAAAACAATACAATGAAACAATAATTTGAATTTGAAAAACAAATTTATAAAGTATTATTTTCCACAAATAAATACAAATATATTTATTGTTTATTTGAAGAACTTTGATTATTTCCATATTATAGTTAGTTAAAGGTTATTAATATTTAAATCTTTTTTAATGACATGTTTTCACAAAAAAAAAAAAAAAATAATAATAATTTAAATTGGGCGCATGAGAACTCATGAGCCGCAGCTCATACTCTTGCTCACGAGTGTGAGCCCATTTATAATTTAATAGCGGCTCTTGCTCGTGAGCGTGAGCCATCGTATGAAAAGAGTTTTTTGTCGGCTCATGAGCCGTAAGCAGAATAGGCCAAAATGAGCCGCTCATGGGTACGCAAATACGAACTCTGATAAATATGAATGAATAAAATGTAAAATGAAATCAATCAATAATAGATCGCTACAATAAAGGGAATAATATTAAATTTATAACTTTATATAGTTCAATTCTTTTACATTATATTATAAAATATCAAAAAAAAAAAATTGAATGAAATTAGTCCATTACAACAGTTCTACAATATATAATATGAGCACACCGTTACTTAACAAGATTGCAGGCTAAGTTAACTATCCTAATAAATAGCCAGACAGCCATAGAACCATTAAACTCTTATCAGATGGCACTAAGACTGATGATAGAAATGCTTGATAAGCGGGATTGACTTGATCAAAATAATCAGGCGGGAATCTCTAGATTTTAGAATATGCCAAACAAACTTGATAAGAAAAAAAGAATGAATAAAAGTGGATTCTTTTCATTTATTCGAAAAAGAGAACAAAAGCATGACTATCGTAATTAAAATTGCTTACAGTAATTCTAAACCAAAATGCAATTTATTTTATGCAAATAAATAATAACGACTTGTTTGATATTGATGCATAACCGAAAGATAGGCCTAACTCAGTAAAGTAATTTCGAAATCATAATTCATTTGAATAAACTGGACTTAGATAAATGCTCTAAATCCATAAAGGAAGCACAGTAGATCTCTAAATTCGATTGAGCAAAATCTCAAAATAATACATATTAAACAACAATAGTAAAATACACATTACCAAAGTAATGATACGATCTCTTATTATCAATACAGTGAAAGTTTATAAACTTAATTTCAAAAAAAAAAAAATATATATATATAAATAAATACAAATTTAACAATATTATATATATGTATATTATATATTTATATATTATTATATAATATATGAGATCAAAAAAATGTAAACGGAATGACCGAAATTAACACAACCACCAGAATTACAATTTAAAACTAGTAATTCAGTATTTATAAAAACTATCTGAGAACTGATGTTCCAACAGTGTTTCTAAAACTGAAGTCTACTTTGGTGTATGTGTATAATATCAAAGCTGGACTAGTTTGCAGGTTATGAAATAAGTATTGTAGACTACATTTAACCAAATAGAAAATTTTAATTAATTTTTATTGTGAATATTTTGTGGTTAGCAGTATTCTCTGAGTAATTAAGCTCTTTATATGAAATAATCTAAGAACCAATAAGAAGACATGGTTATATATTGCATTTTTGAATGTGTTAATTCAAAAAAAAACTAACTTTATAATTTTTTTTAATATTTAACACATACGATAAACAACAATCGACATATACATACGTAGATCGTGCAGTATGCAACTACTGTTGAATTTCTAACTCATCATTTAGAGTTAGTGAAATTATTGAATCAAGTAAAAAAAACTTTAAGTCCTTATTTATATATAAATAAATAAGGTTTAATCTATAAATTTAGACTAGATAATGATCAGCTAGCTATTATCATCTTAGATCACTTAGATCATTTACTATCTCATTGTGATACCGTTTACACAACATTGCATATAATAAAATATAAATAAATTAATTTAAATCATTTTTATATAAGGATTCTATGTATTAATAAAAAAAAGTCCACGATTCTCTATTTCCAATTTTTATAACCCGAGAATGAAATTATACTTTATCTTTTGATTTTGTATATATTTTTAATTGTTTACATAAGCTTTATTTATTATAAATGAGAAATCGAAAATAGTAAACTTTAAAAAAATTAACAAACGTTCTAAAACAATCGAGATCCAACTTTTTGGTATTGTTAGTATTACCATGCTATTTTCGAAATATTTTAATTTATAACATATGTTAATTTTATTACATCTTACGAGTATTAATAAGAGATTAATAAGCCAACTGTTACTTAGTAATATGCGATGTTATTAACATTTTAGATCATTACTTGTTGACATATGCGTCAAATTGCAACTCTGTAATAGCGTTTACACTTGATCGTGCCACCCGTACTATACTAAACAAAAATCACTCAGAAACCAACACCTCAAATATATTGTATTCGAGCAATTACTGTTATACATATATGTTTAAATCAAAACGAGAATAAAATAAAGCATAAAATAAATTTGCTGTTTGTCACAAAGTTTAAAGTGTACGGTTCAAATCTTCAAACTCGAGTACACGGCATTAAATTTTTGAATATTGACGCCAAAAGAGCAAACATCGTTCTCACTCTAAACAAGAAGGGTCTAAAGTCACTCTCTGGTGCACTAACAGACGAAGTGATGCCTACAATAAACACCTACACAAAATAGGTATATCCAGCACAAATATTTGCAGATTCTGCTGTGATTAGGAAGAGTCTTTGGAACATATGATCGTCAAGTGTCATGCACTAGGCCACAGGAGACATAAAATTTTAGGTGCATACCTATTAGCAGATGAATACCTTCAAAAGTTCCCTCCGAAAGAGTTGGTTCGTTTCCTCAACATACTAAATTCAAAGCGGTGCACAATAGAGCAATACCCATATTACTGTTAATAAACTTTGAAGGAGGAGGCTTTACAAATGTTTATTCCACTTGAAATTATTTCGAAACATATTTTATGTGAAACATTTCAGAAAATAAATTTTTTAAATATCCTATCATACATTCACTACATACATTATTTTTCATAAAATATTTATATATTCTATACTATTTTTGAGAAAGTTTGGATAAACTTAAATTTAGATAAAGATGATAAAAACATCTAAAAATCGCCATTTAGTACAATCCATAATGTAACTGTCGACCGGGTCGATCTAAGCATATATGAGTGCGAGATATACACGTAGGAAGCCAACATAAATCATCATTGGCACCAAAATGTCATAGTCCGCAGAACAGGGACCATTACAGAGATTATATTCGCAACTTATGCTCTGATTAGGAATATAAATACATACATCATTACTGTGATTAATATTTAAATTACGCTATATTGGTATTGTAAATTGACAAGAAACTAACAATAAATATACTGTTCATATACTAAATACTACTTTTGAGGATTAGCTAAATATTAGCTTACTACATATAGAAGAATTTTCGGACCATTTTATGAATTGTGATTTTATAATTTGCCACTACATTTAACAAAAGCAAACATAATATTAAAATAGACGGGTGGATTTTGTTACTAAACTTGAAAGAGCCTCACAAGTAATACCTATTAAATATTCTGTCAAAAGTATTTAATTGTTAATTTAAAAGAAGATTCTGCAAATTGTTTGAAGTGTTTAAAATCTTAAATTATGCACAAATATATACATTACCAGGTTTATTTTGTCCATCGTAATGCATATTAGCATAATAGAGATTAGTGAACTGGCCAGTTCCACCTGGATCAGGCCCGAATAGCGCTTTGGCGCCATTTTGCTGTCCTATGAAAACTAATTAAAAATCAGAAAAAGAAACACACATTATACATTGAATAACACATAAAAAGAATTAGACTCTTAGACTCTAGCACTAACTAAATTTGGGACACATTCAAAATAAAGCTTTGCTCATATATTTTATGACTGAAGTGGTTAGTATAGGAAGCATTATTGTAATATGCAATAAATCAGCAGAATTAAATAAAAAACAATATGTTCCTATTTGTATATTTAAATAAAATAAACATTTATATATAACCAAAAATAGCATACAACATAATATGAGGAAAAATTTCTAAAAAAATTTTTGAGTATTATATGAACTAATTCTATGAACTATTAAATGTAAGTTGAAAGTTTTGAACATATCACAGTTAAAATTATTATTTCTAGTTGCTGAATTGTAGAATGTAGAATGATCCATTCAAATTATAAACACTTTTTTACCATAATTTTAATATAGAAGATCTATATTAAAGAATAAATCCCGAAAGTTGAACACTTTGGACTAGGTAAATAGTAAATTGAAGCCGTTCAGTACTATATATATGAAGCCGACAAATATATATGATATCTGCAATATATATATAGAAACATTTGTAGTTAAAGGAAGATCATATAATTGAGGGTCTGCAATGAAAGGGAATCATTCTTTTAGTATGGAATAAAAATATAATGGTAAAATGTAATTCTTGGCAAAAAATTCTTAGGCCACCAAAATTAATGCTATTCTATTAATTAATGAAAATAACGCTACCTGCATTAACAAGATAAGCGTTGCTTGATTAAACAACTATATCTTAATCAAGTTTAATCAAAGGGTTAATGCTTTTGTTTATTATTTTCTCTAATACCTACATAAATTTTTTTTTGACTAAAATTTTAATCAAATATTTTGTGTCAATAGTGGAATATTTTTGTTGTTTATAAACATTTGTGAGCTTAGACTATAGATTCCCTATAACCATTGAGCAAGAAAATATATATTTATTTTAAAATATATATTTTAATTTTTAAAAATAGCAATTATTGGATCTTTCTTTCTTTTTTAATAGTAATATTACACAATATATCGAGTTTCTTTAGACATTTCACTTATCGTTGTATTTATTCTTATAAAGTAATTACCAATAATCAGTCTACTTATCTAACCATAATTTAAAAAATTTATTGCCAAATGCAACTGACGGCTTCTTCTAGCTTTTAGCACTTCATAGTCAAGCAAACAAAAAAACTTTGAACACTTTTTGTCAAGACCAATAGGGTCAATTTTCCTAAAATCCGATAGAATTCAAAATTTATTTGGGTTTGCTCAAAAGTAAAAAGACAACTCATACGTTATTTAAAATGTGCAAAACCTTATGAGAACAATTTGATATATAACATAAGATAGTCACTTTTTAATATATTTTATTCGATTTATATCGTTAATGTTTTGAAATCTTTATGCGTTCTTCGTCAGCTCAAATTAATTAACAGCTGATACAATATCAATCAATCAATCAATCAATCCAGTACGTTCCCATGGGAACATTGGGCCATAACGAACTTTTTCCAACTGTCACGATTTTTTGCCAGGGTTTTAATTTCTCCAAAGGTTTTTCCGCTTGCTTGGATTTCTTTCTCCAATGTTCGCTGATACAATATACTGAATATTTACTACTCTTTCTTAGGTTCAGTTATTTTAATAACATTATAACAGATATTGAAAAAATCCGCTCTAAGAATGATATTATTAAAAATACGAAACGTCGGCGATATAAATTTAATAAAATATATAAAAAAATTATTACTTTATAATAAACTATAAAATTTTCTTAGTTCTAATTGTTCACATAAGATTTTACTCATTATATATAAAGTATTCAAGCAGTGAAATTCAAAAAAAATCATAAAAACTAAAACATATTAAGTTAAAAATAAAGGCAATTGCAATAAATGAAATGCATTAATTTTTTAATTCTAAATACAAAATAATATATAAATAAAAATAAAGCTTATATACATTATATGTAGAAATATTCTGTACAAGACTTAGCATACATTTTTAAACAATTCGACACACATTTTACTTGGTATTTGTTTATTTAATTGCTACACTGGAAATTTTAATAAATGTATAAGAAACAAGAAAAAGTATATAAATTATTGAGCTATATTTAAATTTGATTATATTAAAAATTAAAACTTTAATTCTTAATATAATTAATTTAATTTATATTAATTACACAGGTAAACAGTCACAAACTAATACCTTTAAGTTTAATTATTCGTATCACTAACTTTTGTTTTAACATCTAATAGAAAATTGAATTTAATCTTATAAAATTTAAATTGCTTAACACCGTTCCAAGGATTCAATTAAAAAGAATTGATCGACTACCGCGCAAATCATCGAATAGATAATATAATAGATTATATTAAATGATGAATAAATGGCTTCAATAACCTATCAAATGGAAGAGTAAATTTGAGAAAAAAAAAACAATCAGCTTAACAGCTGAATCAGCCATTGATCGAATCGATGGAAAAAATAGTTTATAATTTAATTCTATGTCTCCAAGTCGAAAGTCCATTAGTTTATTGGATATAGAATATGTAGAAACTTTTCAGCAAATAATGAAGAGAATACGCTCTACAGAAACGCTCTATAGAAATTGGATACTGAACATGTAGTAAATATACAGAGAACTCAACAACCTAAGCAAACTACAATTGAAATGATAAAATTGACCATATTTGCTTTTACAAAATAGTTATAGTATTTTTTTCAGAGAAGTTATAAATTTAAAAACAACCAACCAAGCAAAAAAACTGAAACCAATGTTCCCATATTTTAATCTTTTCTATCAGCCATCAGTCTGTCTATCAGTTTTAGACTTTTTAATGGTATACCTAAAGAATTTAGACATTAAGTATGTAATCAGTAAACGGTGCAGAATATGAAATATCACCAATACTAAGACAATTTTATTTAAAAAAAAAAGATTCAGAACCCACCACTCTGTGATTTTTAGATGCACAAAAACTCCAAGGAAATATTTCTTTTCTTTTCTATTCTTCTTCTTTCTTTACTATTTTTATTTTATAAGATTCTTTCTTCATAACAGATAGGTTGGAGTGGCGGCCATGTATCCCAAAAAGCCCAATTGAGCTCAAATGATGGCCCATTGTGGTACCACATAACATACACATTTTTCATAACAATATAACCAAAATTTCATTTCGCTTTGTCAATTTTTTAGACAAACTAATGTGTTAGATTAATCTGCATCTTCAAAAGCAATGATTTGTTAATGGGTTGATTTGTTTAAATATAATACAAGATACACAAGTCTCATTTGTAACCCAGGTTTAAAAGGTTCAGACGTTTAAAAACCACCTGGATAAGTTACGTTAGGAAAAAAAAAGGCTTACAAAATAATAAAACAATGCCGCACATGATCTGAAGAATAACAAAGCAAATGTAAGGCACTTTCAGCATCCTCTACACAAGTGCGATGGAAAATTAGATTCAATCTTCTAGCATGATTCCCCAAAAGACTATGACCCGACTATCACAGGACTGATTTTTTAACGAGACATCTGAATGAGATTACTGAATTTTTTGAAAAAAAAATGCTGCCAATTTACATAGAGATACCCACATTTTATTGAGTATTTCCAGTTTTTTTAAAAAAAAAAATCAGCACAGAAATAACTCAATAAAACTTTGCATGATATCAACGATATATCTAGATTTTTTAGGGTGTTGCGAGTGATTACGTCTGGCTAGCTCTTCTGTCTTGTAATTGCCGAAAATATTCCTATGACCGGGAACCCGGAGTAGAGAAATATGAAACTGCCCCGACATCTTGTTTAGAGATGTATAGCAAAGAAAAATCATCATAAATGTAAATTGGACTGAACTAAAGGACTTAAAAACCCTGCCTGATAGTATGTATTTATTTCTATTAAAAATAATAACCACTTCCCGATAATTCATAATATAAATACATCAAATAAATATATTTATTGTATATAATAAATGTATTCATTATATATAATATATATATTAACTATATATAATAAATATATTAACTATATATAATGAATATATTAATTATATAGAATAAATATATCCATTAAATATATATAGAGAAATTGAAACGTAACCAGCAACTAACAAATTATACCAATTCCTATTCTACTTCTTTCTGTTCTACTTTTGTCTGTTTTTTAATATTTTATAATTCTTTTGCAAATTATAGTTAATTGGTAAATATTAAATTATAATTTTTAATATATATAAAAACTTTTTATAATTAATTCTTTTAAATATTTGTCTACCCTATTAAATTAGAATCAACAAAATGAAATTTTTTACTATAAATATTTGATGTGATATATTAAAAAACTATCATTAAGAACCAATACTCAGAAATAGTGTTAACCTGCGTTATATAAAATAAATTCAAATTAATTAAATACTAATAACAAAATTCAAAATAAAAATATTGCAATTAAAATGATTAAATAAAATGATTATTTTTTGTACCTGCTGGCATACCAGGCATTCCAGGGGGTGCCCGCAACATATTAGCGCCTATAATTGCTCCATGTGGACCAATGGCCATAGCAGGCCGTATAACTGGTTGCATAAGCTGCATCTGACCGGGCATGGGCATCTGTGTCCGCAAATTAAAACAGGAAAGATAGAGAACATATATATAAATTAGTAATGTAAAAGGTAAATATTTCACGAAAATTTCATTACACAAATTATCTAATGTTATTTATTTTTATATATATAATATGTAAATATTTAGATGTATATTATATATAATTATATTTTGTATTAATAATAGTAGTGGTGTGATTTTTTAAAGAATTATCAATAGTAAGTTTATTGCTTCGCATTACATGAATAAAAAGGCATTTTTGGTAATAGAATAGAAGAAAATAAAGTTCAAAAAACGTACTTACAATTCACAAATTGGACTGTAGCTCATTCATGAATGTACGAGTGCCTCATATTCATAACTTTTATTTGTATGTGATGTACTTTTCATTAACTAATTAATACATTTTTTCATAACAACAAAAACTAAATTTTTAAATTGGTATGTAAAGGTTATGTGATTTTAAATAATTGTGTTTTTTTTTTTTTTTTTTTTTTTTGTACTAACCATCGTCGATGAAAATGATCCCAATTTTTTGGTGTTTGTTGTTGGTGTATGCAAAAATGTTATGGTATAAGGGGGAAAATAGGTGTAAAGGTTATATGTAAGGTGAACACTATGCCAAGTAAGCAAGGATTGTGATTAATATGTTTTAATAGTGGATAAAGGCGTGGGCATGGTTATGGACTGGTGCTTGAGGTTCGAAAATTTGGTAAATGGTATTAATGCGTACTTATTCATTTAGTTGACATATGTAAATTTTTTTTTTTGTTTTTTAATTATTAATATATTATATATATTGCGTTTGCTCTTATATTCTATAAATTAATTTTAATTTATAATTAAAAGAAAAATGCATGTAAATTACAGACTATTCGACCCTTTATATACGAGTACGTATAATGTAATTAAATTTATATATTACAATTTACAAAAACATTTAGATTAATTAAGACATGTCAATCCATCAATCAATCAATCAATTAACCAACTTATCAACCATTACGACAATTTAATAGAAACTTTAATAAATGTTTAAAATTATACTTACTTTGTTAAATTTTAAATTGCATTATTTTAGTACTTATCTGTATTTCTGTATTCTTTTAACTTTTTTAGTTTTTTTGTATCTGTTTCTGTAATTGTAACTGAAACTGTATGAATATCTGTATAAAAAGCTTCTAAAAAATGTTTTGTACTTTCCAACTAAACACAATTACTTCAAAGCATTATAAATAACGAATAACGATTATGGATGAGAGAAAAAAAAACTTATCTTTAAATTGAAATTTATTCTAAAAAACTCTACTCTACATAGTTCCTGATCATACGAACCATAAGAACCATTAGAACCATTAGAACCATAAGAAGCCAATAAACGAAGCTAAACCTAAAACTTTAGAATAAACTTTCTTGAATAAATACTTCTGGGCTCTAAAACGTAATTTAAAAGCAAATACCATTTGTGATTGTTATTTATTTATTTAAAATATACATGTTATTTTGAAAATTTCTTAAATAAATAAAAAATAATCACATGCATACAAAATTACAATAAACGGATATTATTCCGATTAATGTTTATTGAAATTATTAAAAATTATTTAGTTTATAATATATATATTAATGTATATATAAATACATACATATGTAAAATTGTATAAACATATATACATATATAATGCGACAAAATTTTATAATCGATGTGTTTATAAAGTAAATCTATGTAATTAATTTTTTTAGCTGTTTTTCAGCAAATGATCATCAGGAGGATCTTTCTTGCTAGAACCTTGCAGTTTACTTTTTATTCTTAATACATGATATAATATAAAAACACATTTTTTTAAATTATGTTCCACATTTGTTCTAAGCATAGATTCCACATTAAATCAAAATAGGAACCAGATCATTTAATTTTTAGTACACCGCTTTTTTATTGGTTCCCGTATTTATTAATCAGATCCTAATTTGCTAAAACACAGCTAATATTGTTGGAAGTTTGGTCATATTAGAGATTCTAAAAAAAACTTAATTTTATGCATAAATTAGTTTCAAATTATTTTTACACAATGAAAAATCAACATTTTGTCTGTCTATATTGTATTACCAATTAGGCAATATTTATAAATATGTAGCGATAATGTTATTGTTTAATCAAAAAACACATATTTGCATATCTGATTTAATAAAAAAAATCTAACATTTACAATTAAATTTAATATTAGTAATTAAAAATTATTTCTTTCTTATATGTTTTGTAGTCAAAAGCTATATTAATACTTTTTAAAATTCAAATTATTTTAATTAATTAAATTTGATATTTGAAAGAAAAAGGGCTAAAGAAAATCACATATATATTCTGTATAGAATGTACATCTCTCATACGTTCGTTATCTTAACAATTAATGCATTTTTTATATCATTTTTGCAGACTAAAATCTAAAAATCTAATTTAAAATTTTCATTTTAAATATTGTTTCTATAAATTATTAATTTTATTTTTTTCTTACATTGAAAATATAATACTTTTTTCGGAAACTCCATATTAAATGATCGAAGAGAAAAAAAGAGAATGTGAAAATAAAAACATTTGCCTTTAACAGGTTAGAAAGCAAACAAGTCTATAATTGTTATATCATTAAATGAGATGAAAGCATACTCCCATATTGAAGAAAAAAGGATTTAAAACATAAACTTTGAAGAATTTATAAATATTTCAAAAATTACGAAGTCATCATAAATATATTATTAAGTTACTGCTAGTATTTTTATTTAATATTTTCTATTAATTATTTTTAGTAATTGTTTTGTATTTTATTATAATTTTTTTTATTTTATTTTTCTATTATTTTATTATTTCTTTATTTTTTTTATTATTATTTTATTATTCTTTATTATAAGTTCTTTATTATTATTTCTTTATTATTATTTCTTTGTTATTATTTCTTTATTATTTCTTTATTATTATTTCTTTATTATTATTTATTTCATATTATTTCTTTATTACTATTTCTTTATTATTATTTCTTTAGTATTATTTCTTTATTAGTTCTTTATTATTATTTCTTCATTATTATTATTATTTATTATTTCTTTATTTGTTTTATATTATTATTTAATTATTTCTTCATTATTTTTTATTATCCTAATAATATTTTTTTATTTTCTATTATTATTTTATTTATTTCTATTATTATTTTTATTTTTTTTAAATTCTATTTTAATTTTTTATTTTTATTATTTATTTTTTTATTTTTATTTATTTAATCTTTTTATTTTTTTTTTTTGTATCACTATTTTTTATCACTTTCTCATTTTTCGTTTTTTATTTTTATTTTTATTTTTTTCTACTTTATTTTTTATTTTTTTCTACTTTATTTTTTATTTGTAGTATTTTTTTATTTTTATTAATTTTTATTATAATACATTTTTAAAAAGTTATTTCGAAAATTGGTAAACTAAAACAACAAAAATTCATTTGTATATTATTTTAATTAATTTAAATAATTAATTAAATTTAATTTTGGGTAACCATATAGCTGATAATTATTTTTGCTATTATTTTTTTATACTCATGTTTTCATTTTTTTATTTATTTACTTATTTATTTATTATTTACTTATTTATTTATTATTTACTTATTTATTTATTATTTTTTTTTTGGTTTTATTAATTTTTTGTTATTATTTATAATAATTATATATTTATTTTATTTTATTTTATTTTTTTTATTTTATTTTTTTTTTTTATTTATAATTATTAATATTTATTTATTTTTTTAAATTGATGATTACATTTAATTTTACTTTAATTCTATGTAATAATATATTATAATTCAAAATTTTTGTTTTAACAATTACATTCACCAAAAAAATTCTAATAGACAACCTATATGCATAAATAAAAAATTAATTAAGCCATACAAATAACTTTTTTATAATATTTTTATATACAGATATCGAAGCTGAGTATCAATGTGCTACTTAACTGCAATATTTTTTTTCTATTAAACTTGAAGCACTAGTGATTAAAGTTATAGAGCCCTAAACATTATCTTTTTAAATATATCTTTATATATAAGACTCTGAAGTAGTCTTACTTTTTAAATTTATACTCTTTACAAATTAAAACGCTTATTTCTAACTTCAATTTAGAAACACGCTTTGTATAACTTAAACATATTAATTATACAGAAGGTACATGAATTAGTGTCATGGTTTGTCATTATTAATGTTTCTTACTGATATCGTAAAAAACAATTAATCGACCATAACACCTTGACGGGTTAAGAACGCTCTTAGACGTTATTACAGAATGAGCACTTTTAATATTAAAGCTAAAACGTAGAGTACTTTGTATTTTTACATTTAATGAATATGTGATTCCAAAGATCATTAGAGTATGTAAAATAATGACAAAAAACGCACCGGAGTAAAAAACGATATTTGGGCATTTATCGAAAAAAAGAATAGATAATTTACTCTAAAGATTAATTACATTAAAACGGTGCATCATAAATGAAAAATTCATCCAGAAATGTTCGCAAGATAATAAGGGATTGATAGATGAAGAACGAACAGAAAAAGTTTACAAATATTTTAAAATCGATGTCGGTTCCTTAAAAAATAACTAACAATATTTCAAAAATAACTAACTCTGAGCAACCATAGCATCCGTTCTGGTTTTGAGAGAGCATATTATTGTTACAATAGCATATTATATGCTCTTGGGTTAAAACCTGTATATGTGTTTGATTATTAGAATGAAGACTTTTAGAGATATTGAGGATTTTTCGACTGATGTTTTTAGAAGACATTTGTTTAACATCCTGTATTTCGATCAACTGTGAATATAAGCTGAACTAATAAAGCGAATTATGTCACTCAGTTAGGTATTCCTTCTGGAGAATTTACTTTCAATACATATATGTACATATATATTTATATTAGCATATCTATTACAACTAATCACACATTTTCTGTTAAAGTCGATAATCTTTTACGTCAATCTGTCAGATATAAAAATTATTTTTAATTTAATCGATAATTTCTTAAATTATCTATGAAATGTTATATATTATTATATCTTTATCGGTGTTAGGGCTTTGGAGTGCCACTCTAGTGGCACTCCACTCGTCCAGTGCCACTCGTCTACAATAGTATTAAATATTGAAATATATTAAGAGAAATGAAGAACAACAACAAACAAAATCATAAATGCATATTCAAACTATGCATCACCAAAAACAAAATTGATATTTGCCATTGATGCTCCTATTATTTGTATATTTAGGTGTAAATATAAACAATAGTGATTTGTGTAGTTCATTAGTGCTTAGTGATGAGCATTGTTTCGCATATTGCACAACATACCTCAATATGTGCATGTCCACACATATTGATAATTTTTTTATATGCCTACTCGTATCTGTGTCAGAACTAGGAATTGTGGGAAGAAGAACAAACTGAGCTAAATAAGTACTTTTAGACACTGTGTAGACCACTTTGTGAAATATAGACCTATCGTATGTCTACAGCGAAAGCCTTCGCAAACATATTTTACAATAAATATATCGACTTTTATTGAAATAAAAAAGCTTAAACACATTTTGGAAGTAAAATTAAAGATAATTGGAATACTATTTAGAATAATAAATGTCTTAATCGCATAATGTATAGCGCAAGTATGGTAATTTACAATATATAATAATATAATAATATATAATATAATTAATTAATATATAATTATATATATTAATATATGTTTATTTATAATGAAAATTATTATATGGGATAAAATATATGATTCTTTTCACTCAAAAATAATACATCATATTTGTCTAATATTGAATCCAGAAGCTACTAGAATTTGATTACTACCATAACTTCTCGTCCTTAAATAAATTAGGTAAAGGTAAAGTTATGCCCATATTTGTTTTAAAAGTTCTGATTTAATATCTTAAAATTTAAAGATATTCCCATTATTATTTTATATCTTTTATATTATGTTTTAAATTTAATCTGTGTTTATATGGAATTATATAATTGCATCCAAAATTTTTATTTAATCCGAAAGATACATTAAGAGATATGTGGGTGCTTTTCGTATCATTTACCAAGCTAAGTCTTAACAACAAGAAAATATTCAACAATCATTGAAACAATCGATTGAAATAATCGAATACTATAACTCTTTATATTTTCTGAACTGATGACAGAGTACAGGTTAGTATGACTTAAGAAATTCTTTTGTGGGATAAACTATCGTAGACATATTCTAAAATTCTTAAAATGAATAGAAGCGAAACAACTTTCGATGTGATAATCTGGAATTCTAAAAATCTGGAAGAGTGTTCCATACGATTTTGCGAGACACTTGAATTCTTAAACTAATTGAAATTAACTGTAGTATAAAAATCATAAAATAAGAGTTTAAAATTGTTTTTGAATGCTCTTCAAATTTATGTTAGATGAAACAACTGGAAAGTCGTTACTTTTTCTGTCTGCTAAATGAATTGCTATCAACAGCAATAAAGCAAAATTAACCTATTGGGCGAGCTTTGTCAAAAGATGATTGATTTTAACAACAGCTGCGGTTTCTAGCTGATTTTTTTCTTAATAAAACTAATAAAATTATTTAATTCATTTAAACATATTTTGATAAGTTTGCGTATTTTCAACAACATTAAAAAAACGATTGTGTAATATATAATATAATATATACAAAACACGTGAACAAAATCGCAATTAAAATATTTTTATACTTAGAACGCATTGCTCTATAAACTGATATTGTTTACATATTATTATTATTTTATATTCTTGATGGTTGCCAAATATATAAAGAAATAAATATCAATCCTTTTTAGCAGACAATAAGAAACTAGCAGCTAAATGAACACGTTATCATCACATATTTTAAAAACTAAAGGAGTTATCAATCGTCATATTATGTTTTATTTTATTTTTTTTCAGCATACTTTATTTATTAATATTATAATTTTGTTAAGTATTTTTAAGTTTAATAAATAAAAAAAAACAGAAAGCCAGAGTTTGGAATACAAATTTATATTCCCTTTTATTCAATAATAAGCAATTTATGAATCAATTTCGATTTTAATTAAATATCTATTCATAGTTGGCTGTAGAATGGAATATGAATAGTCCCTAATAAGCTCCTTCAGCTTAACTATATTTAAACTTAAATACTTATCGCAGTTTAGAACTGAATACTATAAATCGTCATATTCTCTGAACTAGTGAAAGTTTACAGAATAGGAATCTTCTTGTATTCGAGTGGGGTTTTACATCGTAAACATATTGTAAACTTAAAATTTTCTTAAAATTAAAAGAAGCAAAATAAATATTTCTATCATAATACTATATAAAAGATAATGTTTTGATATTAAAGTGAAGTGTAGCATATATTTATCTGGACAATACAGCAAATTTCAACTTCACTATGTAGCGTACAATCAATTACTACGTTCGATTCATTAACTATTTCAGCTATGTGAATTTTATATCGGATAAGAGAATTTTATTCCAGCTAGACGAATTTCTTAACATGATTAGGCAGTAACAATTCAGCCATTATAATTAAGTGATCTTGAGTTTTATTACATTAGCTTAGCTCTTTAGTCAAAGTAGTCTTGCCACATTTCTTGTTAAATTCTTAATAAACATACATTTTTTAAATATTAAATGAAATGCAGGTATACTTGTGCTTGCTAAAGTTAATATTTGCTATTTTATAAGTAAATCAGTATATATTTAACGAATCGAACGTAGCTAATATTTTTAAAAGTAAAGCACTAACTTTATACTAAACACCATAACTGATGAATTGTCCTATACCTCAATATTAGATGAAATTAAGAAACTATGTCTAATCAAATAAGGAGACATTTATATTACTTTTATTTGTTGTCGAAAAGTATTTTCAGGCTTAACATCACTATTAATGAGTCCGACAAATCTAATTTAATTTTAGTATGATTAACACTAATTAAGTTCTCTTAGCTTATTGAGTTTCTTTTCAAAGCACTTACCATGCCAACTGCTGGTCCACCTGCAGGACGTGCTGCCTGCAAACGTTGTAACATCACAGCGCGATTTAAATCCTCCAGTTGTTTCTGCTGCTGCTGTTGGACGGCAACTGCTTGAGCAACCTGGGCCTGTGCATGAGCTTGAGCTTGAGCAACTTGTGCTTTTACCTGTGCAACCATGACAGCCGTCTAAAATATATAAATATGTGTTACAACAGTTCAAAAAAAAAATTAAAAAAAAAAAACGTAAACAAAACTATTATTCTGTACAGCTAAAACTTAAACTAATGAATAAAAATTGCAAAAAATATCTAGAAAATCTTTAATATTATTCTGTGAATTAAATTCTAAGCAGTACCATTGATTAACTATGTAACAATGTTCTAAACTGATTTGATATTAAATTGTTTCAAATTTTAAGTATGTGCAATTGCTAACTTCAAAAACGTTCATATTGGTAAACAAAGCTGCTCATATTTATACCGTCATTTATGAGACAATATCTAAGCATTTAATGATCCCACAAAGAAATCAACTGATAGTAAACATTTTTCTAAATTTATGTACTATTTTGCAATTTGAATTTCGAATGTTACAATAAAATATAATACTTTTGTATTAAACGTCCCTATTTTTGTTTATTTAGAACTGAAAAATGCAACTGTTATTAACGGGAAACGGTCATTAACCATTGGACAATAAATAACTAAACATTTTATTTTATAATTTTAAGATTTATTTCAATTAATCAAATACATTATTATATATAGATATATTATATGTAAAAATCGAAATTTCAAAATTGCAAAACCAATATTATTAGAAAAAAATTAACAAGAAACTTATTTACTTATTATGCATAGTTTTATTAAAACTAATCATTTTCTTAAAAGTTAATAACAAATTAAAATCGAAATTGAAATTGAAATACGGTGTTAAGTGTACTTATATTCTAGACATATACGCCCATTTTCCTTTAGCTTTGATCTTTCTAAATTGTTTTTAAGTAAATATTGCTGATTTAAGGGACATTTGTACATGATCAATTTGTACATGCAGATGATCAATTGAGTTAATAAGAATCAACTGGCACCAAGTTTACTTTTTACTTCTACCATTTTTATAGGAATGTTTCAGAAATTGATTGCTTTCCGTATAAATAAAACTTTTAAGATTATAACAAAATATTCTAAATACATATACAAACAAACTAATTTTATAGACATTATGGAATAAATAGCATGGAATAATCAAGTGCGAAGCCGAAAAAATAGGTTTTTTTTAGTATTTCAGACCAACTTCAGAGCCGATTAATTATTCCATAATTATTCTATATAATTAATACATCACCATAAATGTATTAAATAATACTTATTTACAAATACAATTTGAAAATATTATTAAAAAAATTAACTCAAAAGTGCAATCGACACAATTTATTTTTAAACTACTATTAATTATTTTACCGCAATGGAAAAGGTAAAAAAAGAAGCATTGTAAATTAAATCAAACTTAAAAACCAAATAAATAAATAAAAATTTGTTAAGCAAAATATAATGTAGACCTATTTCTTTATAAAAAAAAGTTATTTCAAATGCTGCAATTGATAAGCTTCGTATTTGAAAATACTTCCACATAAATTTCATTAAAGCATTCACAAATGCTTTTCTTATGGAATTGTATGAAATGTAAATTTCTCGGTATTATTAATTTTAATTACTTTTCAATTTTTAATTGCAATATAAAATTAAATATAAGCTTAAAAAAGGGGCGTGAGATAATAAATGCATGGCTAATTATTTTATATATTTAGCCAATAGTGAGTATTGTAAAGAGTTACTTTATATTGCATATTGCAACTTGTGTGTGCATGTCATATCAGAAATATATTTAATTGAATTTAAAAATGTTTTAAATTTTTAATTATCATAAGATTATGTCCCGTTGGTTAATAAAAATTTTAATTTTAAAAAACAAAATAAAACATAACAGAATTTGAACAGAAATACTTGCTGTTTGCCTTAAAGACATTTGTCTGTTGTTTAATTAATAATAAACGTTTCAGTAATGTACAGCACTAAAATCTTTTGGACCTAGCAAAATAATATTGGCCACCATTTAAACTCACTTCCTGGGCTTTAGTTATAGCTGCTGCAGTAGCGACGGCGGCAGCATTCGATATTGATGTCGTTGGAGTTGTTGTTGTTGGTGCTGTATTTGCACTGGAAGCGCTTGGTGAACTAGCACTACATGTTTGTGCAGCTGCCGCAGATATAAGTTTATTTTGATATTTTGACATACGTGCACGAATCTCTTCTAAACTTAAATCTTCAGCCGGATGCATTATTTTAGAAACACCACTTACATTTGCCACAACTTGAGGTTTTTGTGGTTCAGGAGGAGTAGAAGTGCTAGGTGTTGTATTTGCATTATTTGTAGTTGGAGGGGCACTTATTGTTGCATTACTGAAGTCAAAATAAAAACTTGTTTATATAGAACAAGAATTAAAAAATGATTCCTTACCTATATGCAGGAAACGTAGGCTTTTGTTGTGCTGTAGCTGCTGCTACATGTGCCGCAGCAGCAGATGTTGTGGGCGCAGCCATCGCAGGAAATATAGGTCTTGGAGGCATCATAGGTGGTGGCATCATTGGCATACCTCCATGTCCCATATATGGTGGCATGGCTGTCATATGTGGCATCATGCCCATATGTCCATATTGGCCCATCATGTGTGGGGGCATCATATTTGGTGGCATTAACATAGGTGGCGGAACCGTCAAGGGAACTATAAATACAATATTAAATTATATATATTTTTCTTGCTCACATATCATGTAGAAATGCTACCAACAATACCTTCCATTTTCTTTTTAGCTGCAGGTTCATCATCATCGGAATCAGATTTGCCACCATTTTTTTGCCGCTCATGTTCACGTAAATCAGCCGCAGGAATACCATCCATACCAAAAATTTCAATTTCAATGTTTGAACGATTAGGTAAGGAATTTGGTACTTTGTCAACAGTCTCCTTATGAACCTGCATACAGTGAATTGAAAGTCCCGGACCTGTATATAATTTTTTATGGCAAATATGACATTTGAAATGCTTAGCCTTTTGATGCTGCACCAATATTTTTTCATCATCAAACTCCCTGTTGCAATACCTAAATACGTTATAGAGTTAAGGTTCACAAGAAAATGTATGTACATATATATTTCTAAATTCATAAAAATTAGGTCGCGCAATTTTACTGGAACACTCAATAAAGAAAACGCAAAACTTATGTAAAAATGAGTACACAAATTTTTGACATGTTCATTTCAATTATTGAAAAGGATACCAGCACCAGGGTTTTGAAGCCTTCTTCTTCTTGCGTCCCATTGTAACACAATATTCCTTCAAAAACTTTTTTAATAACTAGTCCTTCTAAAGGACTATATTGACAATAAAATGTATTAAAGATCAACCCGAACGCACTCGACGAAACACTGTACAATGTTACTGAGAAAAAACAAAATGGAGTTCTACTTATTTGACAATCAAATAATCGCTCAATGTTGTATTTCCTAAGTGAATGGCACACCAGAATTCTTTCTACTATTTATATATTATTACACACGGTTGATAATATATGCCGTTTAATAATGAATGTTTTAATTTAAAAAAAAAATGAACTTTTTTTACTGGGACTAAATGCTCAACAATCAATAGTCGAGCGTTCATTAGTATTTAGCGTGTTTTCTCAGAAGCAAAAAAAAAAAACACATAATTACGTGTAAAATAATAAATGCTAACAAAATAGTAAATATTTACAACGTTTATTTAAAAGTGTTTTAATTAATAATTAAGTGGTAATATAAAACTAGCACATATGTTTTGTTAAATAACACAATATATTATCTATTAAATTTTATGGATATTTTTTTATAATGTAGCTAATATCGTTGTTAGCGAATATATATCGATCTGATCAACGTTACATTCTCATTGTGTCACATAGGCGGTTTTACTCATAAAGCCAACAATGAGAATGATTTACCATACAAAGTGCTTTTATATCATCTATATAAATCATCAATAAATCAGCTAACTGAAGGAGAAAAATGTCGAATGCAACCCTTAAAAACAAATTTCTCACAAGGGTTTTTTATATGAAATTTAAAAAAACAACAGCTGAGCTGTAAATAAAAGCACTGAAGAAGTAAGTACTTAATAAAATTTTTGTTTTTATTAATTAAATACGTAATAGATTAATAAAAAATATATATGAAAACGATGTAGTATATCAATTAAAAATAATATTTATTATGTGACATGTTATTAAGTGAAGTTTTTTGATCAAACAGAAGCTGTCTTAAAACTATCAAAGAACTTTCTGTATCAGAAGTTGTTTTCCATGTTATAAGTACTTTATGGCAATGCAAACCACGAAATCACAAAATTTCAACTTCTATAGTATAGAAAATATGCTCAAGAAATAGAATATATAAATATCATTTCAATATTTCAAATCAAATATTAAATATGTTTGAAAAGTTCAACAAATAAATCATTTTTAAAATTTATTCGTAAATCACAACCCAGCTTCAACAGCAACGTTGGCAGTACCAATATATTATTATTTTAAAAATCTGTCATTTCGCCATATTTGTACCAAAACTTATCGATAACGCATTAAATACAACATTATATTCAGGACAACGTACTAAATGAAGACAAATTTTAGTCAAAGTTCGAAGCTTGTTGTCCCTATTTTTATATAACAAAATTGACTTTGATTGCTCGTTATGCGCTTAAAGTCGATTTCCACTAGCAAAGTTCGTAATGTGAACCCTGTATAACTCATATACAAATAATTTGCACAGATTATTATTAATATCTCAATTAAATTATTTCTCAATAGAGATACTTACTCTGTCTGTACATAGTTAACTCCCACGTTAAATAATACACCCTGAATAAAAATATGTGCATACAAAAGCCAAAATCTACATAACCAATACTTTTTAAAAATGTTTACTATAAACCCTTATTTTAAATGTCAAATCATCCTACATGGCAGCATTTACTTATTGTCAAAATTTTATTTATGTTTATGGCGCACACTTTTTGTACTTGCGGGAAAAGTTGTTTTGCGGCAAAGTACGTTAAGAATACATAATAGAAATGGCAGAGAAACAGAAGGTAGTACAATATAATGTGATGTAATTGTTTTATACTTTAAAAAATATTTTTTAAGAAAGACTGGTGCGAATAGTGAAGGCAAAGAAAAACGCCGAAAGGAATCCATTTTAGATCTATCAAAATATTTGGAAAAACAAATACGTGTGAAATTTGCAGGAGGCCGTGAAGCTTCTGGTATCTTAAAAGGCTACGATGCACTGCTAAATTTAGTTTTGGACAATACTGTTGAATACGTTCGAGATTTGGACGAGCCATTGAAATTAGCGGAAGACACAAGAAGCTTGGGTTTAGTTGTCTGCCGCGGTACAGCGTTAGTACTTATTTGCCCACAAGATGGCATGGAATCAATACCAAATCCTTTTATATCACAAGATGCGTAAAATATGTATATTAAACACAAAAATATTTATTAATTTAATTCATTAAATAATAAATTTAAAAATGTAGTAAGTACTATTAAAATAAATAAAATTATAAAAACTAAGTTTTTAAATAAATATGGGTAAATGATAATTTTAATCTCATTATTAAATAATTACTTTTTAAGAAAATGCAAAATAATGCAAATTTTATAAACAGATATTTTAAAAATTTAATATATTAATAACTTAGGTATTTGATTCATTTCAGTTTACTCGTACATATTTAGCTCTATAGCTTTTGCATGGATCCAGATTCTTTAAAATTAAAACCTGCACATGAAATTTGTCTTGAAAATGTTTTTTTTTTTAATCTAAACCGAATTCATTTCTTATCCATGGGTATTGTGGTGGACATTCTTTGCAAGTATAAAAGTAACGGTCTTGTTGTAACACGCGGCTGCGTAATTTGCAGGTGTTTGGCGCAATGCAAGCAATTTCTCGCTGATCCATGTTTTTAGGTTTGCAACTCCATGGCTCGAATAAGTGAAGCTGATGGCTAGGAGTTGGTTGTCTCATCCATTGTATCGCTTGCTGATTTGTTACAAAGTAAACATCCGGCATTTTCTGAATATCATCCAAAAATTTCTACAACAGAAGTATTAATTAAAAACATTTGTTATAAAATTTTTTCACATACCAAAAACGCATTCAGATAATCAACTTTTTTAAACCATGTTGAATGGAAAAATAAACCTAATGGTGCACGATTTGTAAGATAGTGTCGTTTAAAATTGTGCGTTAACATACGATATACATCGTCTCCAGTCAGGTGTGGAGGACAACTGTCAACCATGCCGCATGTGTAATCGCCAGCTTCTAGTTGATTGATAATCATTTCCCACACGCCTGCATAGCTACGTGAAGGACAATTTTGATTCACACCCACACAACTGTGAGGTATTTTATAATCAAGAGTGTATGGCCACAGTGGTGGGTTCGAGAATGGCGCAGTCATTGAGGAATCATAAACAAAACCAAACTCCTTCATCATTAAAAACTGACGATTCCAACCAACACGTAGAAATGGTACACGCATACCACGTATTTCTTCCATACGTACTGATGCAAATTTATTGATTATATTAGCTTGTCCAACCATTTCATCAAACCAATCCTCTATTGTTGCGTTTTTAGACCACCATATTTCAGGACCACGATGACTATAATTTTTGAAATAAATTATATTATAGCTATGACTAATATATAATTTTGAATATAAATGAATTATTAAAATTTACTTTCTGACCAGTCAAGGAATGGACGAGAAAAAATCTCCTTTATGTTTTAAATCACACTGGACAATGGATGACATACTTCTACCAATTAAGAAGTAAGAGCTTACACAAGACGTAAATGTGTTCCTACTTTTAAACACTGATTTAGTAAGTATTTACTAAACATATTTATGAATAGAAAACGGCAGTAATTTAAAACAATTATTATTTTTTGTTTATCGTTAGAGATGACAGGGTTACTTCGTCTTAAATTGGATTAGCTTCTGTATCTCCACCCTCTATATTATCGCTCATTCCTCTTCTCTCTTTATATTCAGCCTATCCATTGTCCTTCCTACCTTTTCCACCCTATCTATTCATATTTCTGATATCCATTGTATGTTAAAACAATAATAATATAGAAACTCTAATTGTCACAACTTAAAGTTGATCTTTATAATCCTTTAAATTTTACTTTTTATACTATACTTACGTTACGGAATGTACACCAATCTCATGACCATCGTTCCATAGTTTCTGTACAAACTGATAGTTTGTATAAGGATGAGAAACAAAAAATGTGCCTTTAATTGCACAATTATTTGGGTTTCGTCGATTTTGTGTAAACAAAACTTTTGAATAAAGTTCCCAGTTTTCAAAATTCACCGCATCATCAAACGTAAGTAGTACCATTTGTGGCACTTGTTGCGGTTCTAAGCGTCCGGGAATTTGTGTACCATCCTTAGAACAAAAACAATTCGGCAAATGACAATTACGCATATCACAAGAATCGGCAGCATTTGGATCATTCTCACTATCACACCAACCCTAAAAATTATGATCAGATGGAAATATTTACATATTAGATGGATGTTTCGTTTTAAAGTAACTAAATTTCGGTAGGCTATTACTTAGTCCAAAAAATAACAAAAAATTCGTATGGAAAGCGAATGGAAAACGTGAAGTTATGTTAAGTTATTATTCTTCATAATAGTCTAAATCACATGCCAAACATCCTTAAATTTCGCGACTAATATGGTTTTGTAGTTAAACGAGTGCAGAAAATGGTGTCATGTATATATGTCGTGCATACCTCTTGCTATATTTTTAATCATTTTTTGTATACACCTTTTCATCTTAGTAATATTTTTTAAAAAGAAATTTTTCTTCTTTCATGTAACATTTTTTCTGTAATCGTCCTTTGACAAGTTGCTTCTACTACGTTCTTCAATTTAAACACACAAATTTATCAATCAATAGAAATTAGTATGTTTATATAATGATTTATATAACAGTCTTTTTCGTGGTAAGCTTCATTTGACTTTCTTATCTTGATACTATCTTCTGAACTTAAACTATTTTAAAACGAAACATCCAGTATATAAGAATTCTTACCTCGTCTGAACCATCGGGGCAGTCAACAGATCCATCACAAAAGTACTCATTTGGTAAACAAGTTCCATCTCCACAACCCAACTGAGTTTTATCCGCACAATCTGCATCGTCTAACAGTGGCTTAGGAGCTAAGGTCTCTATAAATAAAATAAATGTTTTATATTATATTTTAATACAAAGTTTAACATTTTTACCTTCGGTTATGTCACAATTATCCACATTCTGTTTAAAATCACAGATTTGTCTAACAACATCAAAGTGCAGTCCTTCTGAGCATTTAAATTCAAAAACTTCCCCTTCCAAGCACAAAAAATATTTGGAACATTCACTATTAGTCCACATTTTATGCACCGGACGGCTGGGATTCCGGTAAAATCGAGCACCTTCCAAGCATTCCGCATTTGTGCGAGCAAGAGTGTTGCGACCAGAAGCTTCAACTGAATATTGAGACAAGTCTTATAGTAATTAGAGACAAGTAAAAATAAAATTGTGTGATATATACATATGTATGCACTTTTTAAACTAATAATCTAATTTGCGAAATTCATAATCTTAATAAGATTCAAATTGAAATGAGATTTAAAATAAATGAGAAATCAGATTCTAATTAAAACTACTTTGTCTAAAAAAAAATAAAACTAGAAACTATCAAAATATAAATACAAGAATTTATGATTTATATCCGCAATCTATAAGGTGCTAATGAAGAATTTCTTTATACATGAAGCAATCCGTCCTGTGTCCAAATGGCTGGTATTGTGATTGTATATATAATTTTTAATATAAATGTTATTTATTGAATGTTTACGGACATTTCTAGTCCTAAAACATAATCCAAATACTTAAAGAGTTTGTTTATATCATCATAGTTGTTTCTTACAAATTATTATGGTGCGAATCGATGACAGTTGTTTTTCAACACCTATAAGGTTATAATGTAACCTTATGAGGGTATAAAGTTAGAAGCTAATATAAATTGTAGATATAAACTGGAGACCGCTGACGCTCCCGGCGGGATAAACAAAACATACATTCAGTTAATAGCAAAAACTTTTTCAAATCCTTATATGATTAAGCAAAATATCTTTAATCTTATGTGAAGTATTTAAATAAAATTATCATTCTTCCATAAAGTAGTTAAAGTAGTAAATAATTTAATAATAGGAGTTAAAAGTGTTTCAATAAGTTTTAATAAAAACGTATATAAGATTTATAAAAGTGTATAAATTTAATATAAAAAATACAATCAGGCCTATTCTGAATCGCAAGGGAATGGGAGTTTGTTCCCTGTTCCCAATTCCCCTATTCTGAATAAATTTGGTATGTTCCCTGTTCCCAATTCCCCTATTCTGAATCGCATGCGAATGGGAGTTTTTTCCTAATTTTGTACAATTGTTGTTGTTCACGAAACTGCTGTCTCCTTATCGATTCAGAATAAGGGAGCTGTGTGTTCGGGAACAGCGTGGGAATAGGGAGTTTTTTCGCTGGGAGTATTCAGAATAGGCCTGATATCTATTAAATATTTAAATTCGTTATGTCAACAACTATATCAATTAATATATAACAATTTTAACTTATTTTAGCTACAAATTTTTAATACACGTATCTACATATTTTTAAAAACATATAAATGTCTTTATTAAAGTTATTAAAGATTTATATAAAACTTATAAAGAGGTTTTCGAAAAGTAGTGAACTACAACAACAAAAATTCTTTGTTCTATTATTTTAATTAATTGAATTTTTAGTGAACCATACAGCTGTTTCGAGTATTGCCAAATACCTATTATTAATAGTTTTGGATATAATTCTTGTATTTAATTATTCATAAATAATTTTTTAAGACTGCAAGTAAAAGTAATCGAACTCGTGTCCTGCCAAATTTAAATATATAGAAAGATATATAAAATTTTTAAATAATACAAAATAAATATCACTTTAATATAGTATTCAATCTAAAATTAATTCTTAATTCTTAGATATAAATCTTATATAAGATTTATAAAAATGTTTACATTTTATAAAAAAAATTTTAAAATAAAAAATCTATGCTTTAATTACTATATTTTAATAAGTTATGTATATTTTTGTCACCGTAAGTATATTTTTTTATATTTTTCATAAGATGTGCCAATAATTATTGTTCAGTCTAATTTAATCACTTTTTTGGGTTTTTTAATTTTAAAAAGTTAAATTTAAGAAATAATATAATGAAATAAAATGAATTTAAATTAAGCTAAAGTTCAATATGCTTGCTGTCCTAATAATTATGTTCGGCACTGTATATGTTCTATACAAATTTAAGTCTCTGCGATTTTTTATTAATATTAAAATTCTCTAAAAAGTATCTTTTTTTTAAAATTATTTGTTATTAAACTATTTAAAAAAAATTGTTAAGTTTAATAAACAAAAGTTGCGTTAAGTAATGTGTTGTTACACTCATCTATATTCACAAATGGATGTTGCCCGCGTGATGGTCTACAATACAAAACTTATGTAACCTTATAGACAGTAGTGAAAATATAATATAAAAACTTTCACACCCATAAGACATAAAATACCAAACACACTTACTTAACGTTCAATATTAAAATGCATAATGTCATCGTCATTTGCATTACACTCAAAAAAAGCTTTTGATACGAACAAATAAAAAAAATGGACAAAAATTTTAAACAATACGATACGATATACGTTATTAACTGAGATACACAATATTAAGAAGAATTTAATAATATTATATGAATATTATGAAAGAACGTACTTTAAAGGCCTAACGCTTTCTCAAATTGATAGGTTATTACACGTACTTTCTACTGCTGGTATGATATAATACTATATTATTCCAAATGAATATTATAATAAATAAAAAGTGCATTTAATAACACATTTTCCCATATGTTTTCTTCAAAAAAAAAAAACAAAATTAACTCAACTAATACGAGTATTGCTTGCTTTATTTCCAGTTAAACCAACAAATTTTTTCATATATATAATTCAATACTTGAAACAAGTTGTTATTTAGTAAAAAAAAATCATTTTCGTCCGATTGGATCAACTGGTCTTGCCTTACTCTTTTTTATTTCTCTCTTTATTAATCAGATAGCTAACCAACAATTACTGGACATTTTTGAAAATTCCAACCGTTTTTTGTATGTCCCGCTATACATACTAGTAGCGGGTGCAAGTCCAAAAATACTGCTATTCTTCATTTCTTTTTTTAGCTCTATCCTTCGGCCAGGTACACCTATGTATATATAAATCATTATTGTTAATAATACTTGTGTTATTCTATAATTGTGTAAACCTATATCTCGTAGATTATTGAAAATTTAACTCTTCTGACAAGATTGTTAATAATACTTGTATTATTCTATAATTGTGTAAATCTACATATATCTCGCAGATTATTCAAAATTAAATTCTTCTGGCATAATTTTTGGTACTTAGGCAATTGAATCACCTCTTGAAGTTACTGCAATTTAAACTAGTAAACAAAAATAAAGGACGTGTGCGAATTAGGCTAAGTTGCGTTCTAAATGAAGGAAATTCTAAGTTGTGCCGATAATGTAGTGATATGTCGATACGTGTTGATAAATGGCTAAATGTGTGCAGTGCAAAAATCCCAAAAAATCTCCTATTTTAGCATCAACTTACCCTAACTCGCACACGTCCATAATAATAATTTAAAAAATAATTGTGTATAATAAATTTATTTTAATTAATTTATGTATTAATATAAAAACATAAATAAATGTAAGCCATAATTCAAAGGATTAACAAATAGAATAGAATAGAATAATTGGAATTAACTGCAGCTACTCGTACATAATAGGTCTGTTTCACGACATATTCGTAGTAACTTTGAGTAACACTGTGTATACACAAGTGCATTCCACCAGAAAATTTTCGAATAAATGAAAGCATCTGAGAGAGCGTAACATCCCTGTCGAAATTTGAAAATGCTAAACGGACTTTATTCGTACATTTTATTTCAAGTGAAATTTGTGTTGATGTGTGAATCAGATGTTTTGGTTTGAAATTTAAATTTTTGTATTGTTTATGTGCGTGGCACTGGTGTTCTCACCAGACTTTACACAAAGTTGTTCCATGAAAATCTGTGTAAAGAGCGTAATTTGGCACTTTAATTGTGTTACGCTCTTAGTTTGTACTTTACTTGTGTTTTACTCGAGTTTTACTACAAATAGCTCGTGGAACAGATCTATTGTCTCTAATTCTATATACGGGTATGTTTCCACTTACAGTTATCGAACTCCATTATCATATTTTTACCGAGTTGATTCCGATTGAGTAAACAAACATAAGTCATACTAACCTTAAGAAAACTGATCTGATTTAGTATTAAATTCATTTAAATCAAATATGAAATTTATTGCAAAATTGCTTAAGTGCATTATACTAATACCCCGATTAGTGTCGCCCGATTTGTATTGATTCGAATTATATCGGTAGTGTTTCGATTTGCGTCGTTTTTTGATATATGAGTACAGTGGGGATTACTATTTTATTTCTTGTAGGTCACATTTTTTAACAGGGGATTTGGATGTATTAAGCTTTTAGTAAAAAGGTGTTATTATACATTTGTGTGGTGAAGTGGAAAGGTAAATTTTTGCCTTATAAAGTATAAAGTTTGACATTTTAAAACGTTTTAAACTTGAAGAAAAACCTGTTGATATTGGAATAATTTTGGCTTTAGCTCCAACCACTATAAGAACAATTTTTTATCGTGATGCGGACAAAATAAAGAATTATCGAAAAATTCTCACATATTTGCAGGCTAAACAAGTTAATAAAACTAGAAATCCATTAATTGTAAAAATGAAGTCTCTTCTATTGATTTGGATAGAAAATCAGAATCAGAGAAGAATGCTATTAAGCCAAATGTTAATTCAGAATAAGGCTCTGTCGATATTCAATTTCTACAGAGTCCCTCCCTTCTTTTTGACTAAATTATGTAATCCTCACAAACTTCTCTGATTATTCGATGGCTGATCTAAGATCTGCATACCGCCTTTATACAACTAGTGACTGCTCTGAGATAGTGCTATGTAGAGCAGCCTATCAGTTTTCGCGTATTGATTCAGGGTTCTTTCCCTTAACTAATGTAATGTACCAGCTGAATAGTAAAGGTGACGGGTACAACGTATGAAATAAAATATATGTAGGTACGATCAAAAACTAACTTAAAACAAGGATGGCTGGATATAAATATAGCATGAAAAACAAGAGTGTTGCTGAAGCCAAAACAGCATTAGCTGTACATTGCATTGACTGCAAACATGAGCCAGATCTTGACAATGTAAAAATCTTACATGAAGAAATAAACCAAGCTGAAAGGTACTTTTTAAAAATACTTCCAATACTAAAAATCCCAAATAGCAAGAGACTAAATTATAAAACGAATACGGACA